CCCCCCCCCGCCCCGGTCAGTCCCTGCGGAGAGGCCATACGAGCTACATTACATGCCACAATGAACGAGTATTATTTGGAGACGGTCCGTTCAAGGCGTCGTCCTGTTGAGGTTGCGTGCCTTTCGAAGGTTGCAATTGGGAGGTTGCTGTGGCAGCGGCAGGGGGGAGAGGCGCTCTTTTTCGGCTTCACGACGAAATATTCACGAGAATGAGGGCACATGCCACTCCCCTCGCTTTTCGAAGCATTGTTGCATAACGTTGGGGTTAGGACCTCCACGTACAACCGACTTGTTTCGGCACTCGGCACCGTCCTGGTGTACGGTAACGTTTTTTCGCTATCGGCCCGTTGTCACGTGGCATGGCAGGGATGGCATTGGTGGAGTGCGCCGCTAGCGTAGGCCGCGCGAGCGGCGCTGGGGGCGGCGTGGAGAGGGACGAGAAGGTCAGGCTTTGCCTGCGAGCGATCCGCCGTCTTGGCGCGGCTAGTGGGGGTGATGGTGATACTGCCGGTGCTGCACCTGCGGCCGGCGATGTCCTCGCCGCAACTAGCATTCGAGAGCCTGCTGCGGCGCAACCGTTCACCGAGGCTGCGCTGGAATTCACCTGCGGAGTTGTAGAGAGGGAGTGGGTGGGGAAGCGCGGCGAAAGGGGAGAGCAAGACGGAGGCGACGGTCAGGAGGTGGGTGAACACTGGTGGAGTTGGCTGTTGCGGCAACGACGGCGGAGAGGAGGATATAATTGCTTGTAGCTGTTGTTTCGCACTTGCAACAGTTGTGAGGTCTACGGTACAGAACAGCAGTACCCCTTGTTGCCTGCTGCTGTAGGATTTCAAAAGGTACGGGCTCGAATTTCTGTGGTTACACGGTAACCCGATTTCGATGGTGCGGGGTGGATTCGCGCTTCCGCCCCAAGCGCGTGAGACGGAGCGGGTTATTACACACAGAGCGGCGAGCTTCGTTGTGCACACGGCCGGCCTCAACTGTTCATCAACAGCAAAAGTGTTGTATACTCTGTGAAGTGCGGACGAACGCACAAGTCGCCGATCGATTTGCACAGCTCGATTGCCCCACAGCCAGGAGGTTACCAAGGCCAAAGAGAGAGTGACTTTGAAATCTCTCATCGACAGAGACCTCTCCCTACACGTGTTCGGTCGGGATTCGATAGCACCTCTTCCCTTCTTACCCCATTTCGGTTGTGGAGCAATCAATCTTTTCACTAAGCGATCGCGCCAATATGAGTTTGCCACCACTTATACCCTAAAGACTCCAACTCGTTCACGTTTCTCGCTACCCTAGGCCCGGGCCAGGCATGCACAGCTATAGGTTCCTTCTGTGCTCCCCACGCGTTCCACTCCACTTCGCGACCTATCTATCCCACACTCCAGTCCATTCCGTTTGGTCCCGATACAACCCGTCTCACGCTGTCCCACTCCATTGTGTACAATGTCAACCCAACCCATTCCGTATCTTTTTCTTGTTTCGTCCTAGTCCATCCAATCCCACCCCATTTCCACCCCATTCCATCCCTTTCCGTCCCATTGTACCCTAGTCCATCAACTTCCATTCGATTCCTTCCCATTCCACCCCGTTCCATCCCGTTCCGTCCAAGTCGATAATCACTCTCGTGGAAGCCCACGTGACCCTCGTCGCGCTGCTGAGGTCGCCCAGCATGTGCATTCCCGGCATCGGCCCGGACGGCGAATGGCCTCCTGCGGCTAAGCGCCTGGCCAAGCTGGCCTGGGCGGTAGCCTATCGCGTCAGAAAGGCGGCGGGGGCGGTGGAGTCTTCCATGGCTCTCGCCGACGATGACGTCATGCTGCTGTGCCAAGGCCTGGAGGTGCTGGAGGCCCTTGAGGAGTGCTCGGGCGAGTTCTTCGAGGGAAAGCGGTCGAAACGTGAGCGCCACGGAGGAGAGGGGTTTTTGCTTGGGCATCGGCGGCATGTTTTGGTTTGCTGCGTGTGTATGTTACCATGGTGTGTGCTTCAAATGACATAGTCCTGATTTCTTCGTGCAGGAGTGTTGATGTGGAGATAAATTGTTTTTCCCCCTTTGCCGCGAAGGCTGTGTCCACGGGTAAACTCGTTTTGTAGCAATTGTATTCTAGATTTCCAACTGCTGTGAGAGGTTTTTACTTTGAGGGCCTCCCGTCCCTCCACTTTTTTCCCGTTCTACCCAGGACAGTATTGCATCCCGGCCTGGTTGCTGTTGCAAAGCTTGGGCATGCATGTCGTCTTCTCTCGCCCTCATTTCGTGTTCTTGTGGATGAATCTTTCGCGACACTTTCAACTACCGCTTGTAATTTGAAATTCCCCCCCACACTCCCTGTCCGCTCTTCCCTCTTTGCACTGTATCATTCATTTGTTTCGTCCCTCCTACTCAGTGCGGTTCTTCGAGGGAGACTTGTCCCCGGTTTTGACAACCCTCCGGGGCTGCCACGACAAGAACACCATGCACCCCGTTGTTTACGACGCGTGCTCGTGGATTCGGTCAACGAGATAGTACTGTTGTTGTCGGTGGTGTCGGTGCGATCACGGGGCTCGTTTGCGTGTTGTTTTTCAATTGATCCCTCTGGAACGAGCCTCTTGCGTGTTGTTCTTTGAGTGGTCCTTGACGGACGAAGGCCCTGGTGGCTGCGGGGCCGTTCGTTTAGGCGTGAGTTCTTGCCGTTCGATGCGACGCGAGTGCTTGGGCGCGATGATGATGGATGCTATGTAGACGAGCCAGGTGTCTGCTTGTGATTGCGTGGATGATTTAAGCTGCGGACGCTTGTAACCTCTGCCGGCAATTAAAGAGGTGGATGAAATGCGGTTGAGACAAAGCGGTGGATGAAAGGTGGTTGAAAGAGCGAGAGAGCGCGGACATCGAGAACGGTGAAAACGGAGATGATTGTGTGTTGATTGTTGCCGCCGTCAAATGTAAAAGACAGCTTCCTTGCTACGAACAGGGGCGAATTCGATGTCGACTCGTGGAGTGGTCTACATGTGGACTAGCCACCGTTGACTACCATACGGTCGATGCTGACTCTTGTAGGTACGTTCGTTCGTGGTCAGAAAGATGGGGTACACCCCTTGGGTAGGACAGCCTGTAGTCTATGCAGCGTTCTAGCAAATCCAGTATCGGGAGTCTACATGTGCAGCTACTGACTGAAATAGGAATGCGGCTGTCCCGTCGAATATTGAACAAGACTGAAATGACGAACCTCGAGGTAAACACGGCGGGGACGCGCACACGTACGTGTTGGCGCCTAGAATTGGAAAGCAAGAAAAAAGTACACACAAAAAATAACGCCGCGGGTTTCAGCGGGGAATGCATAAAACATCCCCCCGCGTTGGCGCCCCGAGGGCCACCACTGCTACCACCTTTTCACCAGCGCAGTGCTCCACACCAACACCTCGGATCGGCACGAAACTTGGCGGCAAGTTCCATCAAGTTGTATAATACACTAGCAAGAGGTTCAATGGCACTTTGATGTAGGAAAGGTGGAGGAAGACGGGGGTGTATGACTTGAGGGCGCAAAAGGAAAGTTCGGGCTACGGTGACACCGAATTCGCCAGGCAACTTTCAGCCAATTGGGTTACCATCAAAACATGCTCTGCCGCAGCAATTGAAGTGGCAGTAGACCGGGTCCATAGATGAAGATTGAATAAAATATGTGCATGATTTGGGATCAGCATTGCAGCGCGTGAAATCGGTGCAGCAGATGTGCCTCCATAAACGCCGCGGAGCTTGCCAGAATTGCACCGCTGCTAGCCGGCCCCCGTGCATCTCTTGCACTCCTTGTTTACCCATCAAATAACAGGATGCTGTATGTGTGCCCTTGGTTCACTTTCCCTCACATGAAGCTCCCAAATTAACACGCAGAATGTTGCTGCCGTCTCTTTTGTCGGACAGGGTGGTGTCGGAGGAATGCTGCAGCGCACACCGGCAACCGACGGCAAGAGTTGACGTTCGCTGTATGAGAGAAAGGACCGGGGGTAATGACAGGGCATTCGTGGAGGCAGCCGGCGTGGCAGACAAGTTTCCCGCCTTGATGTGCGGCGATCCAGACGTAGACAAGCTCGTCCTATGTAAACGTGGGGGTTGCCTATTGGAGTTGTTCGTCCTGAACCAGCAAAAGGAGTGCAGGGCGCCTAGCAAACGCTGAGCAAAGCGAGGGCCGAAGTGGACGTGCGCTCCTGAACCTGTCAAGCAGCTAAACCGCCGGTGTTTTGATCGCTGCTGCACTTCGCCCGCGGCGTTGGAGGCTTTGCTGGGTGTTGTTAGCATCAGCGGGTGTGTGCTGGACATGTGCGGGGGGCCGGGTGATGATGTAGTGACTCGCCTTCGAGACACGTGCCAATACTCACGAACGATGTACGACCGAGGTGAGGGGATGGATGCTGCGCGTTTTTTTTGTGTGCTTGGGGTGAGGTATGCGAACTAGATAGCCACCGGTCTGCCATGCATAGCGCTGGGTGTTCTAGCGTAACATACCCTTGAACTACCCAGCACGAAATGACGTAACTCGTAGGCGCATCATGAACGCTGTTTGCCTCTTGGTGTGGTCTGTCGCAAGGATGCTACCTACAGGCATGTAATCCGGCTAGGCAAATAACACAATCTGTTTTCAATGCTGCTAAGTTACATACGACGGACCTAGTTGTGCAATCTGCTCTTCTAAGCTTCACGTGCCTTCGTTCGTAGGTCCCGTCGTAGGTAGGCTCGCACCAGCGGACGCTCATTGTTTGTCCCGCCCTTTTTTACCGTCGAAGTTTGGCTGTGTAAACGAGATGCATTGTTGTTTGAATCCTCCATAGTTTCAATGGGCCGCAAACCGAGTGTACTCACGGCACAGATGTTGCTTTCGGTACACGCACATGGACCAACTCAAGCTTGACTGTATCCGATTTTTGCCGAAGCATGTCGGGGAAATCCGTAGTCTGCAAGTGACCGACAGTGACGGAGGCTTTATTTTTTTTTCTTTGGCATGGTCCAAAGTCTTTGGTGTTGTTGTAACCTTCCAGAGCAAACCCTTTTCCTTAAACAAAAAACGTGACAGGCAGTATTGTTTTAAAATTCTGACGCCCTTTGCATCCCACATGTTCGCCTACCTGTTTTTTGTTGTAAGGTTGTCTCCGGACACGAACCTGGACATGAGCTCGGCGTCATTTGCGGACGACTATTATTACGGTGGAACATAGTAGTCAAGACCAAATTGGAATATTGTGTAACTTCGTCAATACGGAGTCCCCTATCACAAACTATAGCGCAAACTGACGACAAAGCACAGAGCTCTCTTTCTAAAAAGAAAATTAAAAAATTTCACCATGTCTTCGAGTAATATTACGAAATTAGTGTGTGATCGCACCCGGCGAAGTTCCAAAAATGTTGAAGCGCGGTGTTCCAACGATGCGGCCCCAGGGCTTGCACAAGTAATCCATATATTGATTGAACAGGATGATACAGCCATCTCAATTGCGAAATATCAAACAATATGTCAGCTTGCACTCAGAATGGCGCCTTCTGTGCAGCCCCTTCGTGTCGCTGTTCGGGAATCAAAGTCGAAAAATATTGGCCCAAAAAAGGGCATCTGTTTTTGGCATTTTTTTTTTTTTTTGGCATTTTTTTTCAGCCCTCAATGGCATCTTCCGCGTCCTCACCCAGCCACTCATCCGTCTGCTCCTCCACCCCATCCTCTATCTCATCCTCGGCCGTAGCCTCTTGGTACTCTGCCACTGGATACTCAAGGCTACCGATCGTACCGCTCAGGTTTCCACCATACAGGCCGAACCACTCGTCCATCTTGCCAATGGCATGCTGCACCAACTTTTCACAGTTGGCTGCCTTCCACCCCCCCTCCTGACCGTCCCATTCCGGGTCTCCATACCAACCGAGACGGATTTGCTTCCAGACATCCAACATGTTCCGCCCCTTCTCAAAATGAATGCTCACGTAATGCTTGCCGTGCTGCCAGAACAGCTCGATCGGCTGGAAAGTCGGCATGTACGGCGGTGTCCAAATTAACCCCCACCCCTTCTCCCTCATGTACGTCTCAGCCTTTTCCTCGAGCTTTTGTGGAAAATTCTTTTTGAAGTACGTCCGAGTGACGGAGGCTATCTCTTCTTTGCTGACGCCGTTCTTGCGGTTCGCATTGGGTAGCGACCCCTGCGCCGGGACCTCAAAGTTGTACTCAGCAGCCTTACCCTCCGACTCACGCGTCACCTTGAACGACGTGCAACCGTACTTGCGCAAGAGTTCGACGTTGTACTTCTTACTGTTGGTTTCGGGCACCTTAACCTCCTCGTCAAAGCAGTGGTGGTATGAGGCGTTATCGAGAACGAGAAACATCTTCTTGTTCTTGAACTGCGCATCGAAGGCCGGGGTAAGTCGGTGCTTCAACCACTGCATGAACATCCCATCCGTCATGGCGTTATGATAATCTCCGGTTGCCAACTTGGCCTGCCACAGAAATTCTGCTGTCTGCTCATCTGACATTTCGAAATCCGCCTCGCCAGGCTTAATCTTCTTCGCACGATTTTCCTTAGCCTTGAACCAACCCTCACGGATAGGAAATCCCTCCTGTAGCTCGGCCAAGGGCCCGTGCTTCGTGATCGCATGCACCATGATCATACGCAAACCTTTCCCCGTTGTACGGCCTATCCCATCCTGCACAACCCCCTTATCGTCAGAAGGAAAGTACGAGTACGCGGAACCATGCGCCTGGTGAACAAAGCTCTCATCTATGTACACAATGACTGCGACCCCAGCGTCCTCGGCCCTCTTCGCGAGGTCCATCTTAACAAGGAAGAGGCGGATGCGGTTTTTCCTCTCCTCGTTCAACGGGGGTATTTTGATCCTACCCCTACGGCGCTTGAAGCCAAGGCGCTGCAGCAACCCTCCCACGGCACGATTCGACATCTCTAATCCGAACGAACACTCCAAGTAATCCTAAACGGTACGGCGGAAGACCTGACGTCCCGCCTCGTGCTCGCCCTTGATGAACTCGCGCAGTCCATCCTCTTGCTCCTTGGTGATGACACGTCGCCCGTCGTCGACGCTGGTGGCCTTGCCTCGCCCCTTCCCGTTGGTCTCGTACAACTCCTGCTTGTCATACCAGAGTGTGCGAACCGCCAGGACCTTGTCCGTACCGATCCTCAAGGTCTTCGCGACCTGATAAAGATGGGTCATCCACACAGAGGGAGGGTGGGAAAAAGTTTGTAAGAATACAGCAGTGTATTGCGTTGCAGTGTATGGCGTTGGTGTACGAAAGCCGGTGTTAAAGGGACGGCAGAGTGTAGACAACGTACAGCGCACGCGAGGAGAATGGTGGTGCCATGCACATACATTCCTTTACATTCAGCGCTACAAAGCGCTGTAACTGCTGTACTGATACACTGCTGTACAGCTGGCAGCATACCGTTATACATACCACTCAAGTATTGTACAGCAGTAATGGGCATCAGTACAGCAGTGCAAGCAATGCGAAGATATGGGCCGGCAGCGGTACTGGCATGATGTCAAGCACTGTTGTTGCTTGTACAAAAATCTTGGGTGGGATGTATGTATATGCATACATACGTTTGTACCAAAGTACATGGCACTGCTGCTGTAAAACCGTAACAACGACATGCGTCCTTATACTGGTATTCGTACGCAACAGCCATGTTTCTTGGTTCTCACCTGCTCCTTTGCGTGGTTCTCAGAGCTGCCTCCTTTCACCAGGTCGAAGTACAGCATGAGAATCATCCGCGACTGCTGCAGGGTGGTGAGCTCTCCAGTCTTGGGCCTCAGTGATTGCACAGAGTCCTCGACAAACTTCAGCGCGAGAGGGGGAAGCTTGGAAGTCGCCGCTTCAGCAGCCTTGCTGACACGATCCTGCTCTCGCCGTTCACGCTGCTGTTGAAGCACGTCTGACCTCGCGATGTCCCGCGCGAGCTTCTCCCGATCCCTGGCCACTGACGCCTTCATGGCCTTCACCTCTTCTTCCTTGGCCGCGAGAGCTGCTTCGGTAGCGGCGGTGGCCGCCTCTCTTTTCTCCATATCATCCAGGCGCTTGTTCATAGCCTTTGCATTTCTCGCGGCCGCAGCGTTGGCCCCCTTGATCGCTTTAGGTGGACGGCCGCTGGTGCCTCCTGTCGGTACCCGTCTACCACGCTTGGTCATGGTGGGTGCTGGATTGGCCAGGTGCCTGGCGTGGACGGCGAGTTGCTCTACAATGGCCGGCTCAAATTCAATTTTTTTTTTGGCGTTGTACGCGCCATGTTGAGCAGTTTGCGATAGGTTCTATTTTAGAACCTAATTTTTTTCCCGAACCGCAACAAGTATGCCCGCTTGAAAATTGCTGCCATGAAGTGCCCGCTTTTGGCGCCGTTCACTTCATGCTGTGACTGTTCGATGGGCATGAAACCAGCGCCATTCGACAGCTGATGTAACAGGCTTTCTGTTGAACCCATCCAGTGTGTGTGTTGCTCGATTATTGCGTGCAAAAGTTGCAAAAGAGTGTGTGTTTTTCTATCAACTTCGCGGGAGAGAGCATTTTGACAGATTTTTTTTTTTTTTGAGAATGGGAAGTGCCCAATTTGGTCTTGATTATTGTGTTCCACCGTAATACCTCGCAGCACACAACAGACAACAACCCGACTGGGTCGTGACGAGCCCCCCGTCCAAGGGCGCGCTGGCCTTTGTCAAGGCGGCGTTGATGGTGGTGAAGGAAGGCGCGGCGCTGAAATTGCCGCTGTCGTTTCTGGAACCCTGTGCCGACCGAGCAGGTTGGCTTCAGGCGAACCCCCCGGCGCTATGCATGATCATAAGCAGGGCCCGGTACCAACAACTGCTGATTTGCTTTTTCAACGAACCACTGCTGAATCAAATTTCAAGATGTGCCGCGGGTGTGGTTACTGGGAAATCTTGGTCCGATTGGAACTAGGCTCACCAATACAATCCAACAACCAACAAAACACCTCCATCGGTATTATAATAGGGCCAACATAAATATCGTTAAGGCCAACGAAAGGCAGAAACGACGGTTCTCTCGCTTGAAATACTTGTCCACCGTTCGGACCCAGGCTTGCACTCTAGCGTCTTGTTGTTCAAAGGAAAAAAAACAGACGATATCTAAACGCACCTCGATGGAAGCAACGCATCACCACGCCAAAAGCCTGCGCCACCCATGGCAAGCACGCTTGCTGGCAGTAGCTGTCCCATGGCGTTATGGCTTCCACCGCAAGGAGGTAGGTACACAACACGTGCCATCCACGCTCTGCGGCATTGCATGGGGGGTGAGCAACCCCAGCCGTCCGGCAGCGTCCACGACTTCCATGTCGTATGCCTGCGGTGTACTGTAGAAGTCCCCGTATTGCGGACCGGCGATGAACTTCTCCATATCCTGCAGAGCCGTCCGAACTGTTGCGCAGTTGCTAGCGATATCCCCAGGCCCTCTTTGGGGGTTGTGAATTTGGCACCGAAGATACCCACCCCAGCAGCGGTAGTGCAACAAGCCCCATCGCCATAAATCATCACCGGCTTTCCCCTACGTCCACCGTCCACCGGCGCAGCACCGTTGCACAAAGCCTCTACCAAAGGATCCACAAACTCGCTCAATGGCTCATCATAGCCCTGGAATAGTACGATCGCGCACAAATGGTGTGGGCGCCGAAAAAAAATGACATCAGCGCAGAGCCTGTCCCAAGAACGTTTCCCTCCACGCCGTACGTCTCGTCGCATGCATCTGTCGTCGTTGTTACTCTATTTGCAGTCATCCGGTAGTATGTACTCTACGAAGCTCTCAGTAGTTAAGGTTGTCCACTGAGAAAAAAAAAGTTTGAGTGTAGCCTAGACCTCATTCGACACAACAGCCGGGTAAGGTATCCCCCCACTCGCTTCAGGTCGGCGCTTGCTTACTGGTAGGATGGGGTCGATTTGCTCTCCGTCCAATGTCTGCACAAAGCTGGCAGCAAAGTTGACCAGNCTTACCGGTAGGATGGGGTCGATTTGCTCTCCGTCCAATGTCTGCACAAAGCTGGCAGCAAAGTTGACCAGGTCGGAAGCAGCCTCCGCCGACACACCGTCCCTAACGACCCCGGAGAGTAGTTTCATTGTTTTCGTGCAGACTGTTGCGAGGAAGACCTTCCCGGGAATAGCCCCCCCCGGTGTTTGCCATCGGGATTGGGTTTTCGTCGCTTGGCAATGCTCTCAATCAGATGCTACGCTCTCAATCAGGCGAATATGTTGTTATTACCGTTTTTTTTTTTCCTCCGTTTTTTTTTGGCGGTAGTAACCATAATGGTGGTCGAGTAGATCATGTTGTGCGGGGTGGAGAACCCTCACTCCGCGCAAGGGGGATGATCGCACCACGTTGTTGTGTTAACATGTTCAAGCACCCTCGAGGCAGTTAATACAATTAATTAGTCTTACGCAGTTGTCATCCGTACGCAAGGAGTAAGCAAAAGATGCTGAACACCCTTAGCAGGATGCAGCGCACCCTTCATGCGACTCGCCGAATATCTCACGGCGCTTCGCGCTTGGTGATGTGANGATGGTGGAGCGTACATGAGAAGCTGGACGTTGGTGTACGCTCCATTCCGGCGTGTGAGTAGGATCTCAGGCTATGCAAGTCGTCCCTGAACTTATTGTGGCGAAAATGACCTCCTAGGAGGAAATTAGCCTGTACCGCGGGACTTCGGAGATGATAAATTGGGTGGTCGGGGGACGTCTGTCTGGGTGTTTACCAAGCAGATCGCCCGGCACAAGACTGGGGTACTTGTGCCAGGAGGTGTGAACTTGGACCTAGACTACGAGCCTATGTTGTAGGCGCTTTTTAGCGTCGGTGAGCCGGCAAAAGAACTGAAAGAAACCACAACCCCCGCCGGACACTCGGATTGGGAAGGCCGAGTATAAAAATTTTCACGGGTGTGTTCTGAAGGGTACTCACAGACCTGTACCGGGGGGTAATTACCCTCTGTAATTACCCTACAGAATAGTTCTGTGGGTTCTGTGCTCGTACAATACAGAATAGTTCTATGAGGTTCTGTGGCACCCTCGCACAATACAGAATAGTTCTGTGAGTTCTGTGACACCCCCGGTACCCTACAGAATAGTTCTATGATTTCTGTGACACCGCCGGTACCCTACAGAATAGTTCTGTAGCGCCCTCGCACAATACAGAATAGTTCTGTGAGGTTCTGTATCACTCTCGTACAATACAGAATAGTTCTGTGAGGATCTGTAGCACCCTTTCCAATGGGTAAGCACTACTCCTTTCACAATACAAATAGTTCTGTGAGGTTCTGTAGCACCCTCGCACAATACAGAATAGTTCTGTGACGATCAGTCACAATACAGAATAGTTCTATGAGGTTCTGTAAATGCCCCCGCGTGACGTCAGGTCCCCGAACAACGCGGGAAGTTGTACACAGACAGACCTAGACAGCAGCCACACACACAATACACAACACACACCAGACCCACAGAAGATCGTTTGTGCGAACCTCGAGAGGGAACATGAGCGCTGTTGTTGCGGACCTCGACAACTCCACGCCGCAAGACACAAACACAAACACGAATGCCGGGGCGGGTGAAGGTGGCGGGGTTGAGACAAACGAAGGCACACCCGAGAGCAATGAACAGCATGGCTCGAACGTGGTAGACGTTGCCGGAACGTGCCCGTACTCAGCCCGAAACCAGTCTACGGCAAGGGCGGAGTGGTAGCGGAGGTGACTGACGATATCGCTGCCGCGGTGGATGCTTTCACCGTGCCGACCGGTTTCGTGAGAAAGGG